CTTCACTCTGGCCCGCCCGCCCTCCCTGTGCCCCAAAGCCTTAGTCCCACGTCTCTCCCAGGACAGCTCCCAGCCCCACCTCTCGTGACGGCCAGGTGAGAGCAGAGAGCGCCAGGTCACATGTGGCCGTGCCTCAGCCCAGCGCCTGCTCACCAGGCCCCGGCCTCGTCCCACGTGTCCCCGTTCTCTGACCTCGCAGCCCTGCGCCTTCCATTCGCTTACGTCACTGTCGTGATGGGGAGGGACGAGCGACAAGTGTCCCGGGCACAGGCTCTCACAGGACTCGGGAGACGCACGGAGTGGCTCAGCCCTGACCAGGGACCGGGCCAGGTGCCAGCCTCAGCGGCGGCTCGCAGCGCACTTACCTTCACCTCCTTCTCGATGTAGTCACTCAGCAGCCGGTCGGGCTCCACGCGCTCGGACAGCGACAGCACCACGGTGTGCAGGGGCCGCCGCTCCGCCACCTTCTCGTGCGCCTTCCTGTCCCTGCTCTTCTCGCCCTTCAGAAACACCCTCTTAAACGGCGACACGATCCCAGGCTGCAAGCAGAAACGGCGACAGTCGGGGCTACGGCTCGGGCCGGCTTTGCGTCCATCCAGGCGAACAAGCGGAGGTGGCTGCAGCCGCCCCCTCGACCCCACACACACGGGGCCTGGCGTGCAGGCTGCGGACGAAGAGACCCCGAGGCCAGGCCAAGGCCAGGTTCCTCGTGTCAGCGGGGGCCTGGGCCTTTGCCTGCTCACGGACACTCAAAAGGTCACAGGCCAATGCTCAGCAGGCAAGGGAAGGCAGAAAGGAGAGTCCTCGAGTCCCCCCAGACAACAAAAACGCAAGGCCTTCCAAACCCCCAGCTCCGTGTGTCACGTCACTCCAGGACCTCAGAGAGCGGGGCAGGTGTGGCCAAGACAGTGGTGCCAGCAGCTGATGGCAGAAGTCCCCCATCTCCCCCGCCAGGGACACAGCACGGGCTCCCTCTGCACGCCCTCCCTCCGCCCCGGCCTCCGGGCTCAGCGACCGCGGCCTGGGCAACCTCACACCCTGGCCAGGGTCCTATAAGCAGAGTAAACGTGCAGAGGGGTAGGGGGCGGGACAGGGCGAAGCCCACCTGTCTCCCTGCACCTGCAGGAAGCCCTGATTGCTCCCCAGAGATGTCCAGCCATGCAGCAGTCACTATACACAGATGCCAAGGGTCCCTGTCCCCAGACCGGCCAAACGAATGCAAAACACAGAGAACATACACTGAGGGGGGTCTCGGCAGGAAGCGTCACCAAACACCTGAAACCAAAGCTGCAGGCCCGCACCGGCCACGTGTTCCCGGCTGTCGTTTTCTGGGATCCCGCAGCTCGCCGGCCCAGACGGACCCCGCGCCGGACAGCACATGGGCCCACGGCAGGCCCAGCTCTGCCCAACACTCACACAAACCAGTGAACCTGCATGTCGCCAACACTTATTAAAGATTCGCATTTCTCCTCCTTCTCTAAGGGAAAATTCTGTCGTGTACTGATGCCACACGAAACGGCATCCCAGAACCTACAATCTTCCTTGTCTTGTGGGACCCCCGTGCTCCCCCCACTCACCTTGCAGGACCCCTCCACAGCTCCCCCCACTCTCCCCACTCCCCCCGCAGGACCACCCCACCCTGGATTAGGCCCTCAGGGCAGCAGTAAACCGTCCGTTTGGGGCCCATGCAGGCCGAGCAGAAGGTAGGCCTGCAGGTGTACGTGACAGGTCACAGTCACAGGGGACATGAGCTGTAACGCAGACGAGACCACGCAGGGGCCTCCAGGGCGAGCGAGCCCAGCGCATGCCGTCTGCTCATGCAGGCGCTGCCTGGGCAGCCGGGCGCCCGTGAGGGTCACAATGCCAGCCGACTGGCTGCTGCGGGCCGGGGGCACAGGGGACGTCCGTCACCTGGGGCCACACGGGACCCCTCGTCACCCGGGCCCACACGGGACCCCCAGCCAAGCGTGAACTCAGCTTTCCAGAACCGACGTTGCTTCCAAACGTGAAAATGTGTGCGCAGGTCCTGGGGAGAGAGTGAGCACTCCGGACGCCATGGCCAGGACCAAGGCAGGGACCGTGGCTGCTGGTCACTGGCATGGTCTCCGGATGGACAGCAACGGGACCTCCAGGCCTGCAGCTGTCCATCTTCCACTTGGCGTTTGCCTGAGCCCTCAGGCTCACTGTCCCCCAGATGATCCAAGTCTCCCCAAAAGACAAAAGGCCCCGCCGAGCCCCAGAGGAAGACCGTGTGGGGACGTGAGCAGGACTCGCCGCTCAGCCCGCCCGCCCCGCAGCCGTCAGACGCACTCCCAGGCCGGTGGGCGGCTGCGCACGCGCGCTCCTTCCTGGCCTTTCCCTAAGTCATCTTCCAACTCGGACCCTGCGTCCCAACTGACCACAAGCCCCCATGCAGACTGCTCTCGCCCGCAGTCATGACATCTGTGGCCTTATGTCCCCCGAGGTCGGATGCCGCTGACACCTACAAACGGCTCCTTGCCCTGCTGGGGCAGCCCCAGCTCACAAGGTCCCGGGGGACCGAGCGAGCCTTCCAGATGCTCTGCGCCAACCACACCCACCTCACCCACCTCGCTCTCCAGGGGGCGGCCCCCTGGGGAGTCCATCGGAGGGGTTTCTGTGGAGCTGGGGTCCCTCCCCCTCTGCCAACAGTCACTGTGCATTCTCCCCCGTCCGTGTCAATCTCGTTGAAAAACACGGGTGCCGTCAGCCCTCCCCCTATGAAGAGCCGCGAAGGAACCGGAAGAGCAGAAACCACAGCTTCCGTCCGCCAGCGCCACTGAAGCTGCTCAGTGCCAAGAGGCCACCAGCACCCAGCAGGGGCAGAGCCCAGGACACAGCGGCCGGTGTCTCCCTGGGGACAGGCCCTGTGGCCACTGCCTTTCTGCAAGGCTGCAAAGCCCCGCGTCTCCTGTGACCGTCGTCACTCCGTCCCACCTGCTCGCTCCTCCCAGGTCCCAGGCTATTGGCCTCCAGCTTTCTTTACGTGAACCTTGTAAACGGTGGTCGTTTGTTTGATGAATAGCAAATCCTGTCCTTCATCTGCTGTCCTTTCCCTGATGTCCTCAGGTCTCTGGTCCCTGCACTCACTGCTTCTGGACTGGGAGGGGCAGGCAAGAAAGCGTCCTCATCCCCCAGGCCACTGAAGAACGGCCACATGTCTGCCTGGGACTTCAGGGCCTGCTCGCTGCGCTAGTCTGCAGCCCTCAAGTGCCTCCCAGCACAGCAGGGGGGCAGGTCGGGTGGGTCCCTTTCCACACCTGTGCAGCCTCCCGATGCCACTACTAACCAGAGTCTCTGCCGTGAAATGCCACTTTCCTGCACACCTAGTGTCCCTGGGAGTGGGGTCTGTCCCTGAGGCTGCTCACAGGACAGCCCAGCATCAGCCAGGACACGACAGCACGGCCCAGCCTGTCGCTTCCTCCTGCTCCTCGTTTTCAGAGGTTTCTGGTGGTCCTGCTTGTCTGCGACACAAATGAGCTTTAAGACACGTGGTCCAGTCCCAGATGAAAGCCCGGTGGTCTGTTTACTGGGACGGCATTATAAGCTAGCTCAGGGAGACGGACGTGGTCGTGACGCCCCCCACCCACCCAGACACTAGGCAGCTTTCCGTCTCAAGCCTGTGTGTGAGTATTTCAGTTCCTCTCCCAGAAGTGCCCACTGGGAGGTGGGAGGGAGCACCCCCACTTTGGTGAACGGCCTGACCCCAGGAAGCGAGTGCATCACACACCCACATGGCTGGCTTGGCAGGGCCTCGCCACCAGATGGCCCTGGGTCACAGACGGCAAAGCCTGCCTCGCCTGAGGTGCTCGACCCATGGGACAGATATGACAGCCTGTTTGTGCGTCACACTCACGTGGCCCACGCAAGCACCCAGAGAGGGAGCACTGCCACGAGCAAGGCCATGGAGCATCTCCAGGACAGCCCGGCCCACGGTGACAGAAGGGACCAGTGTGGCCAACGGAGAGCCGTTTAAAACCTGTCCCACCCCTGGCGAGCAGGTAGTCGGGGGTGTAACAGATGCCACACAGGAGCCACACGGACCCCAAAGAGCTGCTGGGAGTCAGGGCGGCCGACCCACACGACACAGCCCCCTGCAGACACGGCCTGGGCGCTGGTTCTGCGGAGGGCGCAGGAGTCTTCGTGCACTCCTTGCATTTTTTAAGTTTCAAATTATTTCAAAATAAAAAGATTTTTTAAAAGAGGCATCAAAACACGTTTTGCAAGAATACACACAGACAGAAGGGCCTGCACTGAACAGGTTAGGGTGGCTGGCGACAAGGGGGGCGTGAAAGAGTGGGGACGGGACTGAAGAAAATGAGACCAACAGGAAGCCCAGAAAGGCCTGGCAGGGACGAGCGTGCGGACGGTCAGCTCAGCCCCGCGCCTGGGCCCGACACGGGAGGGGACAGGGAGGCAGAAGGCAACCATCCACTGCTAAAGACGGCACGGCCGGAGCCGGGGCTGGCAGGCGCTTCCAGAACCTCTTCTGAGAAGGTCGACCACACCCCTCCCCAGAAGGGACGCTGTGTCGGGATCCATGACAAGACCCGTCTGACCGTGGGACACAGACCCATGGGAAGAGCTCTGGAAATCAGGGTTCCCGGGAACTGACAAACGCGGGTGCCCTCCTGCCCGGGACACCGGGGATAACGTGCCCTCAGCAGGCGTGTGCACGATCACAGCTCTGGGACGAAACGCACGAGAGCATTTTATGCAGACGCAGGTCACCCCAGACACAGGATCCACAGACGTAACAGGGGTAAACACAGCAGAACCTCAGGCAGGGGCCTCCAGATCCGGCCATGTGACCCCGCAACCTCCTTCCAGGCTGAAGGACACCCCACTATCAGCACTGCCCTCGAAGCGTGCTCGACGCCTGCCTGCCTGTGCCCGAGCCTGTCCATGAGCCGTCCTGACAGCTGCATTAAAGGAATTAAACCGAGAGAAAGGTCAGGAGGCGGCTAAGCTCAGCGTTTTTTGTCAGAGCAAAGTGACAACCGAAGAGTCTACAAACGGGCTGCTGTTTAAATGAATTACATTGATTCGGCCCCGAAGAGGAATCAAGAAACTACACACCCATAATGAGATCTCCAAAAACTCTTGTGGAGAAAAAACCATCCCAGCAGCCCCCATTCCCACCACAGGAGACGCTGTACCAGAATAACCGGGTCACAGGCAAGACTGCAGGACCTGCGAGGAGTAGCTGCCGCGGCAGCCGTGTGCACACCTGCTAACCAGACCTGGGGCTCTAAACGCCTTCCGGGTCAGGGCTGGGAACGCCGTGCAAAGGTAAGCGGAAAACCAACAGCGAGTGGCAGACAGATGTGACCGGATCAACAACCGCGTGAAGTGTACAGGGCACAAGTTGTCAGGCAAAGTAAGATGTAGCAACTACGTAAGCAACGCGCTGTTCGCAAGAGAGCAGCTTAAATACTCAGCTACGGAAATTCCGAAACACACCCAACAAGCAGCACGAGAAGCTCGTGCAGCTACGCTCACGCTCATAGCCGGAGGAGGTTCCCAACAAGGACTATTATCGGAAGTACAGATGGTCCTTCCGTAATGAAAAAGTCATCTCAGCAGGACATAACGACCCTAAATGTATGTACTTAAGAACAGAGCTTCAAAAGCAGTGAAGCCAAAACAACAGAACCTCAGGGAGAAACAAACAAATTCAAAACGCCAGCTGCAGAGAGAACGCCGACCCTTGTCCAGTCCCTCGGTGACTGAGAACCGGAGGCAAAGACTCGGCAGGGACAGTTCGTCAGTGACAGAGAGGAAGCGCACGGTTACCACGGAACTCAGCGACCCATTATTAGGTGCACAGAGCCCACGTGGGTCCGACATCGGGTGCACGACAGGCAGGTGCCCCTCAGGACAGGATGTGCAAGAGCTACTCAAGTCACACATCAACCGGCAGAAATGACAGCCAGACACACTTGTGAGAATTAAACAGTTTCCTGACGTGTAGGATGACACACGTGACACGCAGGTCTGCCCCAGGTACCAGCTTAATAAGACTGCACGCCCAGCACGCACGCAGAATGCTCGAAATCACACCCGGCTGCAGAGGTAACAGGCATGGCACACAGGACACACATTAGAGTCTGGGGACATGCCACTGTGGAATTTAAACTGTACGATGGATAATAAAGAGCTGAACAAACAAACGTCCCCACAAGTGAGACCGCAGGCGAGACACACTGTGCACCTGAGGGGGTGACACCTGCTGGGCTTCCCCCCAGCGCAGTGACACCGGCTCAGACTGACCGCTTTTGGCACATGTCCAGAATCCAGGTCGCCGGGCGCACGTGCAGTCCGCCGCCCTAAGCCCTGAACAAAACCGGAACAAAAGCCGCGTGCAGCCTGCGCTCGGCGCAGGGGACCGCTTTCGCCGCGCCCCAACGCCCTGCTTCCAGCACCGCAGCGGCCGGGCCACGCTGGGGACAGCTGCGCCGCCCCTGCCACTGGCACGGAGCCCGGGAAACAGTGTCCTTTTCACTTCGACTAAGCCGACAAATCCCAACCTCAGCTCCCTCACGCTGTGGACCCGTGAAATCTGAGCAGCGCACTTGAGGGACAGCAGCTGCTCCTGGGCGGAGGGACGACGCCGAGCCAGCCCAGCACCGACCTGCTCCCACGGCAGAGCCGGCCGGGGCCACGCGACCGACCACAGCGGACGTGCGCTTTGGGACATGCAGAGCAAAGGGTGGTGGCCCTGCCACTCTGAGTCGCCTGGCCATCTGTGTTTGGGGCCAGCGTGGAGGCCAAGTCCTCAGAACTCCAAGCTAGATGGAGACCACATCCCAGCCCAGGACCACAACTAGATTCCTGTCACGGCAGCCTGCTGGCCTGCTTGCTTCGGAATGACCTGCCAGCCTAGTCCTCCATGACAGGGGACCACAGCCCAGGGCACAAGCTGCAGACACTCCTTCCCATCCCAGGAGTTAGCTGCATGGCCCAGTGTAGGCATTGGTGGGGCCGGTCTCCCGAGGCCTCTCTCCTGGGCACGGAGATGACGTCTTGTCCCAGTGTCCCCACACAGCAGTCCCCCTGCGTGCACATCCTGGTTTCCTTCTCTTAAAACGATGTCAGCCCGCGTGGCCTCACTTTGCCTTAACCCCCTTGCTAAGGCCCCACCTCCAGAGACAGAGCCGCTCTGAGGTGCAGTGGGCAGGCTTCGGTGCGGGAATCGGGGCCGTGGTTGGCTCCTGACACCGGGGGAAGGGTGGCCAAGAGACGGGGCAGGTGAGCGGAGCCGCCTGCACTTTGACCGCCTCTGAAGCTGGGGCACGGTGACACCACAGGGTCTTGTCTGCACTTGGGCTTGACGGCACCCTAACAGAAAGGCCCTTACTCGCTCCTGTCGTGGCACACTTCCCAACGGTCCCCCTCGCCTGTCCTCCGAGAGCCGCTGCTAGCTCTGCAGGCACAGAGCTGTGTCCCCAGCGCATGTGCCCAGACACACAGTCCCCAGAGGAATACAGAGAAACCTTGGTGGCTTCCGCTGAGCACACGGCCCTCCCAAACTATGGGCCTCACCCAGCCCGGCGCCTGGAGGTCACTCCGCGGTCCCCGTGTGGGACCAGCACGCTAGCGCTGGCCGCTCCTTCTCTAA